CAGTGAGGAAGAGTGTTTAGTGTGTGTGTGTGTGTGTGTGTGTGTGTGTGTGTAGCTCAAACATGTACTGCCGGGCTCCCTCCATTCCTGAGGCTCATGATCTGTCCCGCTCCTCATCTAACGCCAGCAGCTTTGCTAGTGTGGTAGAGGAAAATGAAACAGAGGCCACAGAGGACTACGACACTGGCATGGTGAGTATAGCACACTTATCATTAATGCATTACAAATAATAAACATCTCTAGAAACTACACAGTCATTGCATGCAAACTGTGTCAGGGATAAGTATTTGTGGAGACCACCACTTTAAGAAAAAAAAAAACACTAAGACAAACTTCATATGTTTTGTCAGTATGCCTGCTAGAGCAATTTGTTGTATTTGTCTCATTCAGGAGAGTCTGTCGTCAGCAGATACTCCTCATAAACGAGACTCGTTCACGTACAGCACATGGCTGGAGGACAACATGAGCACTACCGGTACAACCAGCAGGGCGAGCTCTCCTGGTGAGAGAAACAAGCTGTACAAAATAGTTTCACTCACACACTTATCATGGTCAGAAAAATAAAACAGTGGTATATTTGTGTAGTAGTGTAGCTTTCCATTAACTACATGGTCTTTTTTTTCCAGCTCCTGGCAAAACGGATGGTGGAAAGAAACAGGAGCAGAACTGTACAGACATCCGCTTTAAACTTGAGCGACCAAATGACCACAAGTCCACATCGGTGAGTCTTACTAATCTAGTCTATGCATAGTGAATTTTAGTGTTGTATCTGCTTCAGTGTGAAGTTATAGCAACTATTAGTAGCCATTAGTAGCCAAAATCTTATTGACCCCAAACTTTTGAACAGCAGTGTACATATTATGCATACAGTTTGCACATAAAGGATGGCAGCTTCTTTAGTCAAGTATTGGGCGAGTGTGTACACTCTGCCGCTCTGTACTTCTGTCTGTCTTAGTGTTCATTTTGTCAGCCATTTTAAATTTAGTCTTAATCTTTTAAATTAATCTTAGTCTTAGTCAAATATGCACACCAGTAATGTTTATTAAAGCTACTTAAATGTCCTAATTGAACTATGACTTAATCCTGGCTTAATCTAAGGCCAGTCTGTGAAACCAGGCCTAAATGTCTGAGCATTTTCAGCATGCTGTATAATGGTTAAACTGATAAAAAAAAAATATTTTCACATTTCAGGTATTGCACTTTTTACCAGTAAGCACAAACCAACAGAATGTGAACTCATACACATGGTTTATTTTACCTCATCTAGTGTACTGATTTATTATAGGCTATTTAATATATAAATTAATATCAAAGATTTAGATATGCAATTTCTCTGTCTACATTATGAAAACTGGTAAAAACGAACTAAAAATATTATAACAGTGGTTGAGTAAGTGCATTTATTCAGCAACCACAATTGCAAACAAAATAGTCAAGATCTCATGACAGAACTCAGACTGGCTGAATGACACTTTCATTTAAGATGAACATCTCACATGGAGATTGCTAAACTTCAGCTTACTTGTTTGACAGTGTTTTCAGATCATTGTCAGCACTTCCGCAATGAAGAGCGAGCGCATGTGCATGGTTGCCAGATTGCAAAAATTAAGCAAAACACCTGGCAGAAAATTTATCCTTTTAACAGAGAAGCTCTGATTTGGGGATTTGAACTCTTAATATCTGGCAACCGCACAGATGAACGCTCGCCTAGTAGAGGCACGTACAGCAATCTGCAATAATGTTTTGTCTCCTTTTTTCAATGAAAATAAAAAGAGATTTTTGTATAGTTGTTTTTTTTTTAATATAAATTTTAGTCGTGTCTTTTATCATCAACGATATGGCATGTTGATATAGTCACAGTTATCATTTATTGACCTTGTCATCTCATCATTGTCTCGTTTCAGTCATGGGAAAGAAGCTCATCAATGAACATTTTTTGTCATAGTTTTCGTTAATGAAATTAACACTACAGTGTCTGTTGTAACTCTTTTACTGTGTGTGCATCTGTGCAGAACTGCTAGCCCCTCCTGCTTGACTGCCTCATGGACATCCATCAGCAGGTTAGATATACTGTATCTTGACTTAATTAATTTTCTTTCATCAACTAAAGATGTAATGTCATAATCTGTATCCTATATTATAATATTATGACTCTCTTTTAAAGTTCTGCAAGTAAATGATAATAAAAATTTTCGGTAACACTTTTGATTAGGGAGCACATATTCACTATTAACTAAGAGTTTTCCCTCGATAAACTAAATATTTGCTGCTTGTTAATAGTAAGGAAGTTGTAAAGTTTAGGTATTAGGTAGGATTAAGGGATCTAGAAAATGGTCATACAGAATAAGACATTAATATGTGCTTTATAACTACTAATAAACAGCCAATATGCTAGCAATATGCATGCTAATAAGCAACAAGTTAATAGTGAGAATTGGTCCTTAAAATAAAGTGTTACAACTTTCCCATAATAGGAAAAGTGGTGCATATTTTGGATCTTTTACATGTGAATGATGCTATTTTGTATGGATGAATGAAAGAACAAATTTCAGAAAACTTGCAGAACATAGACTACCTAACTGTTTTTCAACCGAAATAATGGAAAATATTTCGAGTTATTGTTAATGTTTTTTAAATTTGCCAAAATTATGAATAATTGGTAAATAAATTTGGTAAATGCAACCTCTGTCTCAGTACCTGAACATTTCAAATGTATTGTTTTTTGCTCGGCAGCCCATAATGTTTTTTAAAGTGAAATATATGTGTGTGTGTGTGTGTGTGTGTGTGTATCTATATCTATATATATATATATATATATATATATATATATATATATACAGTAATCTCCCGAATA